ACCTGTTCTCTATCCTTCCCCTCCATATTTGTTTCTTTTAATTCACAATTTGTTCGTATCCTTTTAAAATGTTAAAATCTTTTGAATTCCTATATGTCATCCATCATATACCTCACTCCTGCTAATTTTGTGTTATCTGCAACTTGTATAAGCATACCTTCTATGTCTTTATCTACTGACAAAACCCCTGAACACGCTGGGATCTCAGTTATAGACCTGGCCCTAGAACCACCCCCAGAATGACAATGATCTGTAGAATAACCGAGGCTCAAAACCTCAGTCACCCATGGGTCGTCTGGCAGCTTGCTCACGTTTCTACACCTTGTCCAAAGAATGTTATGAAGGAATTTGCCTCAATGCCTTGCTTAAATCCAGATATACTAGGCCAATTTCCATACTCTATCTATTAATAAGGAAATAAAAAACAGATCATGTCACAGTTTTAGAAAAATCTCTGTTGGGTCAACTTGAATTTACTTCCTCATCTAAAGATTCACAAAACAAGCCAACTAACTGTGTTTCTTTCTGGAATCAAAGACATAGATGCTGTATTCACTGGTCTACAGTGGTGGGATTAATCTTGTATTTTTGGAAAATTGGAACGGCTTAAGCACATCTCTAGGCTTCTACTTTGCTCTCTCAACACAGTCTCCCCAAGTTACTCTGAGCCAAGGGGAAAAAAGGGAAAAAATGCATGATTTATACATACCATATCTAAAATATGTATATTTTCCCTTTTAAGCAAAAGGGAGTATTATATATTTTATAATATTTTCAAAAGTGTTATATATTTTATAATCTTTTCAAAATTGACTTTTTTAAAGTCTAAAATATTGTTTATCTTCTTACATATCTCAAAGCTCACCTGTCTACTATCTCCCAAAGGATCTTCTTTTTTTTTTAATCAGTTCTACCTGCGTGTGTGTGCTATTTTTTATATTGCTTATTTTAAAAATAATTTAATGTTTTATTTCTCAGACTCTCAGGTCAGTGGGAACTCTGAAGAAAGTGAGTGCAGAATGTGGTGTTTTATCTCCATCTAGAGGTCATTCTAACTATACATAATTTGACAAGAACATTGTACTTTTTTGGCAATGTCATTGGTTATATCCTTAATAACTGACTATACTATTGTTTTAACAACTACTAAAAAAATTCCATTAACTTCCCTTTAGTATTTTTGATTCAGCATCAACACTATTTATGCTGTGAGAAAGCAGAAGTAGCATACACAACAACAGAAAGAAGACTGAGCATTGGAGAATACAGAATCTGGGTTCTAGTTTCTGTTTTTCCACATGCAAACACATATGCCATCTATAAAGTGAAAACAGGCCATTCTGAGAGTCAGCCACTGTAAGGCATGTGGATGTAATTTGCAAACGGTAGAGCATAACGAATATGTAAGATATTACTTATAATTAAGGTTAGGCCTATTTGGCTAACAAACTGCAAATCCATTGGTAACTTTATTCTCCTGATTTTAGAAGTATTTTTGGCCAGTAGGACAAAGACTAACGGAATTTTATAGAAAGCTTATGCAGCCAGAAATTGCACAGAGCAATTTCATTTTGGAAAAGATGAAGATGGTGTTTTTCAATCATTCCCAAATATTAACCCTTTATGAAAATTATCCTTTGAGAGCAAATCTTTTGTTTCAAAGTGAAGGCGTAGAATAATCATATAACACCGTAAACCATGGGTCTGCAAACTTTTGCTGTAGAGCCAGTTTCCTTTGTAACTCCTTAACTCTGTTGCTATACACAAATGCATGGGTGTGGCTAGGCTCCAAGAAAACTTTATTTACAAAAACAGGCAGTCTAACAATTTGCAGGCCATAATTTGTTATTCATGCTAAATAAATGAGAAAATGTTTTAGTGACATGCTAATAAATTCAATCTTAACATGCGGAAAAAGATTCCAGCAGAAGAAGATTTTTTTCTCACCATTTTATGACAGTTAATTATGGTCACTTCACCTAAATTTCACCCACAGTTTCTCAAGTCAACATCTAAATTTCACTTTCTTTTTTTTTTTTTTTAATCACCTTAAACCTCTACTATTTAATTGACTGGGAACTTCTGCATTCAGTAAGACATAATATATTCTCAGAATTAGATTAAATTGACATTTAAATTTATTAAAGTTCTATCTACTGATTAGATTTAAATTAAAAACTGATAATTGAATAAGAAATCATGTGAAACACAATTGGAGCATTACTCAGTGTGTGTTCTGATAAAGTGTAATCTTGGGGGTAAATCCTATACTTATAAGTAGCATAGTTAGTTCACAATAAAAAATGAAAAAACATGAACACAGGAGAAGGGACCAAATTAGTGGAAGACAGACTGGGAAACCCACTAGGAAGAGCTCAACATAATCTAACCTCACAAGAGACAGCTCAAGGTTAGGAAGTCCTCAAAAAACCCTCAACATTGTTCCTCTGTGTAAACTCAACAAAAGTCCTTCCACCGAGAATTAACATCAAATATCTTTTTTGTTTTTTTTTT